ATAGACAATCTTTTATTTAATCACCTTACTCTGGAAAGTGCACAGATGTCACAAAGGTGGACACTGTCAAAGGATCTAAGTAGAACAGAACAGAATAGAATTTCTTTTTTTCAAGAAGCAGCTGTAGGAGTAAACTTCAATATTGATTCAAAAATAGTGATCGAGTAAAATATTATACAATTTATTCAACTCCTCGCCAAAATCCGTGATATGCATGGCTTTTTTAATGCAGTTAAAACCATTTATGTCCCATGCATCTGGAGGCCAACCTCCCCTGAGAGGAGTTGATCAAAGAAATGGAAGCTGTCAACGCACACTGGAAGGAACATTTCAAAGATCTCCTCAATCGGGACTCTGCTGTTGATGACAGTATCTTCACCTTCATCCCACAACACCTGATCAGAGATGAACTCGGAATACCTCCAACCATGGAAGATGTCTGTACAGCTGTTAAACAGATGAAGAACAACAAGGCATCTGGAGTTGATGGAATTACTGCAGAAATCTATAAGCAGTGGGGAGAGGATCTCACCTTACAGCTATACACTCTTATTTTGAAAATCTGGAACCATGATAAAATCCCAGATGAACTTAGAGATGCTATGTTTGCGATGATCTTTAAGAAAGGAGATAAATCTGACTGTGGAAATTATAGAGGAATCTGCTGGCAATTTCAGCAAAGTCCTTGCTAGATTTCTCACGAACTGACTTCTTCCTCTTGCCAAAGACATTCTTCCTGAATCTCAGTGTGGGTTTAGACCATCTAGAGGCACTACTGACATGATCTTTACTGCTCGCCAGCTGCAGGAAAAATGTAGAGAACAACACAGACATATCTGGCATTCATTGACCTGACAAACACCTTTGACTCTATAAACAGGGTAGCACTGTGGGAAATCCTTCTGAAGTATGGATGTCCACCAAAATTTGTCATTATTCTTCATCTCCTTCATGATGACAAGCAAGCAGTGATCCTTTGTAATGAATCTACTACAGCTCCTTTTAAGGTGAAGATAGGCATTAAGCAGGGCTGTGTCACTGCCCTGAGACTCTTCTCCATCTTCCTTGCTGTGATGCTCTATTTCAGCAATTCTCAAACTGTGGGTCATGACCCCATTTTAATGGGGTCGCAAGGGCTGGCTCAGACTTGCTGGGGCCTGGAACCAAAGTGAAAGCCTGAGCCCCACCACCCAGGGCTGAAGCCAAAGCCAAGGGCTTCAGCCCTGGGTGGTGAGGCTCAGGTTATAGGCCCCCTGCCTGGGGCTGAAGACCTTGGCCTTTGGCTTTCCCCCCTCACTCCCCCCCGCCTGGGATGGTGGGGCTTGGGCTTTGGTCCTGCCACCCAGGGCAGCTGGGCTCAGGCTTCGGTCCCCCCCTCCGGGGATTGTGTAATAATTTGTGTTGTCAGAAAGGGGTGACGGTGCAATGAAGTTTGAGAACGCCTGCTCTATTTGGTCACTGACAAGATCCCAGCAGCAGTGCAGCTAATTTATTGAATGGATGGTAAGCTGTTCAACCTAGGCCGCTTCCGATCCATAACCAAAACGTCACCGACCTTAGTCGTTGAGCGTCAGTACGCTGATAACGCTGTAGTGTGTGCTCACTCAGAAACAGATCTTCAGACGACCATCATCTTTGCTGATGCATACCAGAAAATGGGGATGACACTCAACTTCCAGAAGACAAAGGTCCTCTGTCAGCAAGCTCCTAGTGCACAACTCCCAGCACCAGCAACACAGATCCACGATAGCCTTCTAGAGAACATTGTGAATTTCCCATATCTTGGAAGCCACCTCTCACAGACAGCTGACATTGACAAAGAAATCCAGTACCAGCTTAAATGTGCTAGCCGAGCTTTTGGTCATCTGAGAGAAAGGGTGTTTGAAGATTGTGACATCAGGGTGTGCCATGGCTCGAACCAACATCCCACGTTAACCCACCCTGCTCAGAAATACATGTTTGCAATGTGACAGAGTCTGTGGCTCTAGAATAGGCCTCAACAGTCACCAGCAGACTCGCAGATAACTTGAAATGGACAATTCATGAAATACAATCATCCTCGACTTCAAGGGATTGCCAATGATGATACAATTTATTCTTAGACTGTTAGGCTATTGCAGACTTGCCTTTGCCAAATTTTATAAGATACCACTATTTTCACACCCTGGAATACAGCTTTATAACTTCCATTTTGCTTTAACATTCTACACTACTTTCTTTTATACTATGTTATGAAAGATGTAGGTACATGTTAGTTATTGTGGTTTGTGCTATGTATAGAATAATAGACAGAAAAATTTAATTGCAAGTTATAAATGTTATTAATGGCAGACTGTCAATCTAGGAACTGTTTGGTCAAAAAGGCAAGCAACCACAAGATTGATTTATTCTTCAGGACATCCCCTTACCTAAGACAAAGTCTGGTGTAGAAATTATCTCTATCTAAAAAAAATCCCAAACAGATTTTGTAAGATATAGTATAAAAGAATGCAAAAGTGCTCTGTGTTCAGGATCAAAGAGAAGTGATGTTTAGAGATGTGTTATTCAGAGCCACAAACTAAGTTATAAATGGGGCTTCTTTCATCTGTCCTCTCTTCATAGAAAACAATAAATGGTTACTCACTTTCTCATACATCTCATTTAATAATAATTTTTTTTTTAAATAAATGGAGATATCCTATCTCCTAGAACTGGAAGGGACCTTGAAAGGTCATCAAGTCCAGCCCTCTGCCTTCACTAGCAGGACCAAGTACCAATTTTTGCCCCAGATCCCTAAGTGGCCCCCTCAAGGATTGAACTCACAACCCTGGGTTTAAGCAGACCAATGCGCAAACCACTGAGCTATCCCTCCCTCCCATGGTCATCCTTTGAGATGTGTTGCACATGTCTCATGCACCAGTGCCAGAGAGTTTTCCTTAGGTACCTGACGGGGTGGCTATGCATGCACCTTTGCTACCCTCGTGGTCCAAGCCAAGGGTATAAAGAGTGGAGCCATTCTGCCCATCCTTCAGGTCCTTTGCACCAGAGTCTGAATGATTGACTCTCGTGCTGGGGAAGGAATGTGGGTCATGTAAGGGACATATGCAACACATCTCAAAGAACAACTGTTATGAAAAGATGAGTAACCGTTTCTTCTTTGAGTGATTGCAAAGTGGTACTGGTGGGTACACATATAGCAGATCCTTGTTCCATAGAAAGAGGAATGTATCCAAGATGGACCTGGGGCTGTGACCCATTCTCGAACAGAATCAGGGACATTTTCTACTCTGGTGAGTTGCAAATAAGTCTACTGTAGGAACCCCACATACTTGAAACACTGATCTTGGCACACTTGTGTTGAGAGATCACTCATGATCCAGATTGAACGACCTGCTCAAGCCAATCTCCTAGGCCATTCTAAACTCCCATCAGGTGGTGAGAGGCTTTAAGAGTTAACAAATTCCATATGCAGAAATGCCACTGCCTGACTGTCTCCTGGCACATGCTGCCTGATCTGGCATTCCCTCCTTTTTCACGTAAAATACCGTTGTGGTGCTGTTGGAGAGCACCTGGATGCTCCTGCCCTGTGCATGTGGCAGAAACTGCTGATGTTCTGAATATTGCAAGTAGCTCAATAATATGTATGTGTAGGTTGGCTTTGTGAGTAGATCACAATCCCCAAGCCTATAGATCAGCCAAATGCACTCCCCACCCCATGGTGGAAGTGTCTGTCACCAAGGCCAAAGTGGGGAGAGTAGATGAGAACAGGACTCCACTGCAATATTGTCTTGGTTGATCCACCAAACCAGAGATGACAAGTCTTTGGGATAAACCCTAGCTTGTCTACATGGTGTGCCTGAGGGCAGTACACTGACCTGAGCTATGCTTGCAAGCCTCCAAAATGCAAAATGGCAGAGAGGGGTGTCACATAAGTAAATGGTGCCATATCTCCCAGGAGCCTGAGGCAGTTCCTTACTGTGGTTCAGGGTTGGCCCTTGAATGGTGCACAGAGATCTCATATAGCTAGAAACCTGGGTTGGGGCAGAAAAGCCCTGCCAAGGGTTGAGTCCAGGACCACCCCAATAAACTAGTCTCTGTAGATGTGGAGGTGTTCACTTCCAGGCCTAGGCATTGGAACAGAGCATCTGATGAATACTGCTCTCCACCTACTGACAGGAATGACCCCACACCAACTAATCACCTAAGTACAGATACATTTGGATGTCCCAGTGGTGGAGGTAGGCTGCTACCACTGCCATGCATTTTGCATGTCCCAATGCAGGAGACAGGCTGCTATCACAGCCATGCATTTGGCAAAAACCCTCAGTGTGGACAATAGGCCAAAGCGCAGAACTGGAAGTGATCACCTACTACTATGAGTCTTAGGACTCTTGTGTGGCCAGGATGGATTGCCACACAGAAATATGCATCTCACAAGTTGAGGGCAGCATACCAATTACCAAGATCTAAGGAAGAGATAATAGTTGTAAGGGAAACCAAACAGGACCGTGCCATTTTGATGTATTTCTTCAAGTGCTGAAGATCTAGAATTAACCTGAAACTCCCTTTTCATTTGGGTATTAGGAAGTAGCAGGAATAGAACCTTCTGCCCCAGTACTGAGGGGCACTTCCTCTATAGAGTCCAAAGAAATTAGAGTCTGCAGTTCTTCTTGTCTTATAACAGACCCATGAGATGGGTCTCTGAAAAGGGCTGGGCTGGGAGGTAGGGAGGTGGGGTGGGACAGGAGGATAGAAAGAAACTGCATGGTATATTTCCATTCCACTGTGCTTAGAACCCACTTGTCTAAGGTGATGAACTGCCAGGCATTTCGGAAACAGGATAACCTTTTCCCAAAGAGGGGGGAAAACTCAGTGAGATCCAATCTGGTAGGAATACCATCATCAACAAAAGAGTCAAACAGGTTGCTCTGAGGCCTGCGGCTACCTGAAAACATGACCATGGAGGCAAATAGTGGAGGCTTCCTTCTCTGTTGTCTCTGTTTGCACCTGGACTGATCCAGCTGTCTAGGCAGGTAATACTGCTATCTCAGCTGAAATTGACACCAAAACCTTGTTCTTTTGGGGGCTGGTATATAAAGTCACTGAGACTTTAACACTGCCCTGAGTCTTTTAGTGTAGAGTGCCTTATCAGTCTAAGAGGAAAATAAAGCACTGTCCCCAAAGGAAAAGTCTTCAGTAGTCTGTACTTCTATAGGAATCCATGCCTGAAGCCACGATAAACTACACATGGCTACCACTGTGACAAAGACCCTGGAAGCTGATTCTGCAGCGTCCAGGGAAGCTGACCAGGATACTAAATGACCCTCCATCAGAAGGGACTGAAACTTGTCCCGAAGTCCTCGGGCTGCTTGTTGAATTACTTAGGGCAGGTCTACACTACCCGCCTGAATCGGCGGGTAGAAATCGACCTCTCGGGGATCGATTTATCGCGTCCCATCAGGACGCGACAATCGATCCCCGAATCGACGCTCTTACTCCACCAGCGAAGGTGGGAGTAAGAGCCGTCGACAGGAAGCCGCGGAGGTCGATTTTGCCGCCGTCCCTACAGCGGGGTAAGTCGGCTGCGATACGTCGAATTCAGCTACGCTATTCGCGTAACTGAATTTGTGTATCTTAAATCGACCCCCCCCGTAGTGAAGACGTAGCCTTAGTCATAGCATCCCAATTTGAATAGTTGTATTGGGCCAAGAGAGCCAGATGGTTGTCTATGGTGTTGTAATTCTGCAGCTGAATAAGCCTTATTACCAAGAAGGTCCAAATCTTTGCATCCTTTTCTTTTGGGGTAGCTTTTGCTCTACCGTGGCGATGTCTTTCATGTACCTCTGCCACTACCAGAGAGCTCAGCATGGGGTATTGATAGAAGTGTTTGAACCCCTAGGATGTCACCTGGTATTTACTTCCAGTGCACTTTGCAAAAGGTGTGATGGACAATAGGGACTTGATAGGAGGCATAATCACCTCATTTATATGAAGGGTAAGTTTCCCTGAAGTAGCTGGATGTAAAATGTCTATGAACTTGCAAGGGTTCTCCTCCACAAGCTCCATCTGGATACCAAGAAAAGTAGCCCTCCTTTTCAGGAGCTTTTGGTAGACCTTAAATTCATCCAGT